ACGTTGTTTTTGCACAGCGCACTGTAAGCAAACTCTAAACCCTAAAAGGAGATGTTGGAAGCCAAACCCTAAACCCTAAAAGGAGCTGTCGATAGCCAAACCCTAGACCCTAAAAGGAGATGTTGGTCAGCAAACCCTAAACCCTAAAAGGAGATGTCCATAGCCAAACCCTAAACCCGAAAAGGAGATGTCGATAGCCAAACCCTAGACCCTAAAAGGAGATGTTGGCCAGCGAACCTTAAACCCTAAAAGGACGATAGCGAAACCCTAAACCCTAAAACTTGCAACAAGCTTGATTCCCGTGCCAAACCCTAGCTTCGGACAAGAAGTTTCTCGGGCAAACCCCGGGCTATGCGACTACTACTACTACTACTACTACTACCACGACTACTACTACTACTACTACTACTACTACTATTCTACTACTGCTACTACTACTACTACTACTACTCCTCCTACTCCTGCTGCTGCTGCTGCTGCCGCTGCAGCTGCAGCTGCTTCTGCTGCTGCTACTACTACTACTACCACCACCACCACCACCACCACCACTGCTACTGCTACTGCTACTGCTACAGCAGCACCAGCGCAGCAATTGCAGCAGCAGCAGCAGCAACGGCAGCAACAGCAACAAAGGCAGGAACAGCAGCGCAAGCACCAGCAGCAGCACAGCACACAAACCAACACCAACAGCACTAGCACCAACAGCACGAGCACCAGCACCATCACGGGCACCAGCAACAGCAGGAGCAGCGACAGCGGAAGCGCCAGCAACAGCGACAGCGACCGCACCAGCAGCAACAGCAACAGCGCCAGCGACAACGACCGCGACAGCAGCAACAGCAGCAGCAGCAGCAACGGCAGCAAAGACAGCAACAGCAGTAGCGACAGCGCCAGCACCAGCACCAGCTTCAGCAGCGAGAGCGCCAGCACCGGCACTGCCCACGGAAACAGCCACAACAATAAAACAGCAGCAGCAATAAAGGCAGCAGCAGGAGAAGCAGCTGATCCGACAAGGCGGCGAAACATGGCGCACCCAAGCAAGCACAACCAGGCCCTAAACCTATTCACAGCTTAGTTGAGATCACACCAAATGCGAGAAAGGCATCGACAATATTTTCCAGTTCGGCTCTCGTTGCATTACAACAGCAAAATCAAGCGGACCTAACCCTTTCAGGCACATTTTCTTGCATAGCAGCGACATGACTGCACTCATTGCTTGCTGGCAGGGACATCTGTTTCAGAGGCTCTGCCAGTGCCACAGAGCTGAGAATGTGCCACGAGAAACGCACGAGATGCAACAACTTGCGTCAAACAAGCATCCTGTTGACGGTTCTCAGTTCGAGCGACTCTAGTGTTGCATAGTGTCTGCAACCTACGAACATGGCCAGCCAAAAAAGACTAATGGAACTTCTACATGGTCCTTTGGTGTCGTCTAAACCCAGCATGGCGCTGTGCTCTTCTAGCTGCTTTGAAGTACCTCGAAAGGTAACGGCTCCTGAATTTGGTGCAGGCCCTAGCAGTCAGAAGCCGGCAGAGGCATGCACACGTGCACATGCCTCAGCTTGTGATCATCTCCAAAAGTGTGCTTGGAGCTCTGGAAGCAAGCTTCGGCAAAGCTCGAATGCATTGAACTACCGAACTTCCACGTCGATTGTGCCAAGCTACTAGATTTTGATCATGGACCTGCCCGGTAGCTGGTTGGACCTCGTCCTGGGCCTGGCACCTTACGCGGGCTCTCCCGTTCTACGGCCAACTTCAATCATGTGCCATGCCAAGAATAAAAAGCAGAGCTACATTGCGAAATCGAAACTGGACATAACTGGACCGGATGTCGTGACAGGGACAGCAGCAACACTCAGACATCAACCGCCACGGCTGGCACAATGTTGGGGGTGTCTTCAGCCAATCCAAGCTGCCTGGGTGTTGTTCGCGTTCTCTGGTGGCACCAGCCGCAAATTCTCCTAGCAGCTTTTGCTTCAAAACTGAAATGCTGCAGCGTTCTAATGCATGTCTGGTTCAGTTGTTAGATCATGCTGACAAGTCTCAGGCTTGAAGCTCAAAGTCTGCATCTCGCGAGTCATCCTTGAAGGCATGCTGCAGCAGCTGTGGAAATATGACAAGCGTACGATGGCATCAGGAACCATGAACATGCAACCCAAACACTCGTCGTCATCAACGATTACGTCCACTGAATAGCGGCCCTTCTCGTTCGGACCACCTGCGAGAAAGCAATCGGGCCTTTGCAGTGGAGCACGATCCACAACCCTGAAGACACATGAGGGATAAGAAGGGGTGCCAGTGAGCTCGTTGTTCCTTCGGCTGGTGCATTGCAATAGCAATAGCCTCCACACTGGACACAAGGCATTCCACTTTCAAATGAGCATGGCACATGCCATATTGCCTGCTGTTGAGCATCAAAGAGTCACCTCGTGCCTGAGACCTGTTGGCTGCTGGCTACCTTGTGTTCGTTTGTGCACGCCAAAACACTGCAGCTTTCTTACTGTAAGTTGCCTCAAAGCTTAAAGCAGTAGACAAGACATTGAATCACAACATACCACAACATGGCGTGAACAAACAAGACAGGCATGTTAGTAAGTTCATGTTCTGACACACGCATGTATCACAAAACACGAAGGTTCGACAGTCCAGTTTGGCCAAAGGCTCGTTGCTTTGCTACAGGTCGAGAGCAAGTCACACTGTCCCCGCGCGTCCCCATCCGCCTGTAATGAAACCTTCCAGCCCATTGAAGTGTGCCTCAGAAGGGATTACGCTTTCTCCTGGCTAAGTGAATCGCTGCAGCACCATGTGGACTGCCTGTGAAAGCCCGACTAGTCGGACATGCGCGCCCACAGCGAGCTGACCACCGCCTGCCTCCACAGGGCCGCACATGTCTGAGTTCTGATGAGCACTGGCAGAGAGGTCGCACCAGTGGCCAAACCTGTGACACCGGTGCTATCCGCCGCACTTGTCGTTTGGGCCAAAGCTTTTCACAGCCTGGCAGGCTTCAGTTTCCCCACGACGCTGGCTCAAGCAAACGTCTCATCTTGGTCTAGGTCCACGCAGCACGCGAAGACTTCAGCCACAAGCTCAGAAATTCTCGGCCACAGGCATCTCGACAGCCGCGAAGGCTTCTTGGGCTCTGTGTCTGGAGCTTGGCCAGGGATTATCTTCCTGATTTGCGGCCAATCGCATTCGATCACACAGTGCCCACACAACCGAATCTGAAGCGCGGAAAAGCATCTTTTTCATCCTGTATCCACCCTCTGATCGCTGCACGACTTCCTGATCTTCTGTACCCACAGCAACCGCGTACCTAAGTCGTGTCTACCGGCGAGTCAAGGCTTCTTGGCTCCGCATGTTGCAACCAGTGGCAAAGACGGCCAGCTAAAGTCAGTCAAGCACACTTCTGGCGCTGGTAGTACATATAGAAGGCGACTGCACAACACGAAATCAGCGTGGAAATGCCGAGAGCACTCGCCAGGACGACCTTGCGTGGCTAGCTACAGTATTTGCAGGCCAGCTTGCTGAACATGTCAAATCCATGCTGTATATTCACGGCATAATATCCGCAGCACTGCATCGTCAGCACGCAATCGGATCAGTCAGATCGATTAGACTCTCGCACCGACACTTGTCGCAACGACCTGAGTAAAGCTCGATGTTGAAGCCAACCAAACCCTCCCAAGACGCGTTCAGAACATCCTCGCATGGTCTAAAATCAAGCATTTTCAGGCTGAAAGGGATGCTAGCAGGCTATGCTTGGAATTTGCCAGAACGGGGCTGTATCCTGTGTGAAAGGCTGGAATCCCAGAATGTGTAACACGCTGCTTAGAAGCATGCCTAATTCGGACAAGCATCAACTATCGTTGTGCTCGCCGTCCTCAGCAAATGAGCACCCAAACGGTGAAGCACTGTGAGATGAAAACGGATCATACTGCAATAAAATGATTTCAGCAAAGCAAAAGCTTGGGAATGGGACTGCTTGCTGCAGATTAATTCAAGGCGTGTCTCCAAACAGGCGGTGGCTCGGTGGTTGTGGTGTCGGGCGGCGCCATCTCCACCGTCGGGCCGAGCGCCACGTGCACCCACATCTGCCCTACAGGACGCAGAGAGGACACAGCGAGGGCTTGAACCGAACCTACTTCGACCTACTTCGCATCTCTAGTCGACATACGTCCTGTACTGTACTGCGACCTGTCGGAATGCACGGACGGTCCTTGCCTGGTATACTGGCGCCCGATAGCCCCACGGCCTCGAGCTCCTGTGGTGTTCCAGATTCCACTTGAGCGAATCTCTCTCTTACAGCTGCAGGCAGAGTCGGCAGAGTCTCAAGCATCTTCTGCGCAAGTTTCGTTCCTCCGCTCTCACTATATTTCTGTATATAGTTGGACAGTTGAAGGATACTGCCAGGTTGTCCCCTGTCCTGGTAGATCACCTGCAAGAGCGGGCCCTGGTTTAGTCTCAGCTGTTCCAGGTTGTAGGTGACCGCTTCACCTGAGGCCGAGGCCGGCAACACTGCGGCCACGGCGGCCGCTGCGGCTGCCAGGCTTAGGCTTCCCACGCACTTGGTTGCTGCGCGTGGTGATGCGAACGATGAGCCGCAAAGCATTGCTGTCGCCAGGCCAATCGATTTGCAGCTCGGGCTCTTCCGACCTGAGCCAACAGAAAAACCACACCTGCTCAAGTGCTGTACTTGAGACAGTAAGCTGTCAGCGTGCTGCTGCTTAGTGGTGTCTCCGTGCTGGTAGTCTGGTCTGAAGGCTGGCAAATTCCACAGGTGCGCTGGCAACCATCCAGGACCTGAGTTGCTGAAACACGGTGTACACTGTACACACCAGAAATCATGGTTTCTCAGACATCATTGATGAGTGTGCGGACTTGCATAAATGTCAGATATCCGCATGAAAATGGCACATCCGAAAACCATGCATGTAGTCGTCCCTCTCTTTTGCATGGTGGATGGGTGTGGCTGCCGACTCCCAGGAGAGTCCTTTCGGTCGGAAAAGGAC